CTGTCTATTCAAAATACTTTTTATTCACATTTCTTTAAATATAATCCTTTTTAATGCCCTTTTGTTTATTGTATGCATTCGTATTTTGTTTTGGCAAGCAATTTTACAAAGTTCCTCAGTGTGAATTTTGGCTTATATATGTACACACATATACACATATATACACATATACATATACATACATACACACATACATACATATATAATGTTTTCCAATGTATGTTTGATATACACTGATAGATTCATTTTAATGTTTTGATGGATTGGATTTCTTTAATGGATTGAATCACATATTAATTAATTTGGCCCCAGGGTCCCTATTCCTCGAGTTATTATCCTCTGCAATTGTGAGCCGAGAGACACAAAAGCCAGGATAGATAAACATGAATCAGCCAAATGTTTTGAACTACAAAATTGTTTTAGACTTTTTCAAAGTTTTTCTTTAACAAATATTCTTACAAACTATAGTGGGGTTCTGTCAGCATTCAGACAAAATGCAAATCCATTTTCATTTCCTTAAGAGTAAAGCATATTGATCATACTGGGATTTATTTTGAATGATCAATCAAAAGATATTGATTTATTGATTTACTGATTAAATTTATCAAATTTATATAGCTGCCAAACCCACACATAGGTTCCCAAAGATGAATATTATGAGAACTTACACAAGCAACAAACAGTTTCAGATGATAGGATAAAACATTTTTTGGAAGAAACAGAGATACCTAAAATGCTGGAGAGATTTAAAAAGCTATTAGAAGGGGAAATAACAATGATGGAATTAATAGAAGCAATCAACAGACAAAAAATAGTAAAACACCAGGACTGGATGGACTACCAGCAGAGCTATATAAGACATTGCAGGAAGTACTAGGTAATGTAATGTTGGAACTTTATAATGAACTTCTTTCTGAAGCTAAGATACCAGATTCATGGTCCGAAGCTCTTATTACTCTCATACCAAAGGAAGAAATGGAAACCCAGAAAATAAAGAACTACAGGCCGATTTCCCTACTGAATGTGGATTACAAAATATTTACATCAATAATGGCGGAAAGACTTAAAAAGGTTTTAAATGAATTTATACAATCGGATCTAAATGGCTTCTTACCCAAAAGACAGATTAGAGACAATATGCGAATTATATTGAACACACTAGAATATTATGAAACACACCCTGAGAAACAGATGGCATTGGTGTTCCTGGACGCACAGAAGGCATTCGACAATGTGAACTGGCAATTCATGATAAGCCAGTTACAGACTATGGATTGTGGGGAGAAATTTATAAATGTAATCAGAACAATTTATAATAAGCAATCAGCCAAAGTAATGATAAATGGAGATATGACTGAGAAGATCAATATTATGAAAGGAACAAGACAGGGCTGTCCCCTATCTCCACTGTTGTTTGTTCTGACATTAGTGGTATTAAATAGATGTATAAGACAGAATAATGACATAAAAGGGATGAAAATTAAGAGGGAAGAATATAAGCTACAAGCATTCGCAGACGATTTAGTATTTATTTTGGAGGAACCATTGGAGACAGGACCTGTATTAACAGAACAAATAGAAAAATATGATGAGGTAGCTGGGTTGAAAATTAATAAAGATAAAACCAGTGAAAAATATTACTGAAAAACAAAAAAAAAGAACTGGTGGGAAAATTAGATATACAGACTGTAAAGAAGGTAAAGTATTTAGGGATCCACCTGACAGCAAGATGCACAACAATTAAAGAGTATAATTATCATAAATTGAAAAGACAAATTGAAGTAGATTTGGATAAATGGAAAAATGTACAATTATCATTAATGGGAAGGATTGCGATAATCAAAATGAATATATTACCACGATTATTGCTTTTGTTTTCAACAATACCAATACGATTAGATAAGAAATATTTTGAGGGCTAAATAAATAATCTTGAAATATATTTGGCAGGGAAAAAAGGCAAGGATTAATCTAAAAATGTTACAAGATACAAGATTGAGAGGTGGGTTTGGTCTACCTAATTGGGAATTGTACTATCAGGCTGCAGCATTATCATGGATAATGGATCTTACTGAGGAATACAAGATTATTGACATTAAAGGGAAATGATTTACAGTTGGGATGGCATGCTTTTATATGGTATGGAAAAAACAGAATACATAGCTATTTCCAGAGACACCATATAAGGAATTCTTTATTTGTGGTTTGGGAGAAAGTAAAGAGAAAGCATTATTTGAAGATTCCAAATTGGCTCTCAACTATGGAGGTGCTAATACACCCCAATATGTTTAACATGGGAAACATTATAAGATATAAAGACTTACTAACAGATATGGGGGAGTTGAAAACCAAACAACAATTAGAGGAACAAGGAATAAAGATGGATTGGTATATGAGAACGCAAATACAATCTAGATATGAAAAAGATGTTAAAATAGATGGTGTTAATTTGGGGACAGCAGAGTTAGATGAAATATTCACAGAAACAGAAGAAAAATGGATTAAAAATGTACAGTTATCTACTACATATGGAGTTAGAGAAGGAACAAGTGAAAGAGACAATGATAAAATGGACAAGGGATTTTGGATACACAATTGAATTAGATAGATGGCAGCAACTATGGGAAAGAAACTATAAATTGACAATGGCGACTGCGTATAAAGAAAATATGTACAAAATGTTTTACAGATGGCACAATGGCACATGTCTCCAGAAAGATTAGCTAAAATGTTTAAGGACAGGACTATGAAATGTTGGAAATGTCATCAGATACCAGGTTCCTTCTACCATATGTGGTGGACGTGTGTAGAAGCTAAAACCTATTGGAATATAATTAGAACATGGATAGAAAAGATGATACAACAACGTATAGAACTAAGACCAGAAATATTCCTGTTGGGTATTCTGCTAGAGAAATACAATAAAGAGAAAACATATTTAATTATTCATATAATCACGGCAGCCAGGATTGTGTTTGCACAAAATTGGAAAGCACTGAAAGCCTCCTCTCCCAGAGGGAGAGGTGATTGGGAAAATACTGGAATGTGCAGAAATGAATAGACTAACAATGACAATTAAAGATAAGACAGAGTCAGACTACTATGAAATCTGGGGAACTTTTTATGATTGGCTGGAAAGAGAATATAGTTAAAAGATAGTTAACATCAATTTAGATGGAAGAAGAAGGAGCAGATAAGGAGGGAAACCCAGGCGACACAGTATTGAATAACTGGAGGTTGTATAAATATTTATAGAAGTATATACCAAGAAGGTTAGATAAATAGAAGTATTAATGTAAGAGAAAATTAATCTTATTGTATATAATACAGATACGGAAATTTGGAGAGAGGAGTTGCTCGGACATTACACCTGAATTGTATCTGAAGAGGGATGAAAGGGAAGAAAGGAGAGGAGAGAGAAAAGAGTAAAGGAGGGGAGAAGGAAGTAGGAAGGTTGGAGGAGAAGTGGGGAGAAGTGGTGAAGGAAAGAGAAGAGGAGAGGAAGAAGAGGGAAGTAGGGAAGAGAAGAAAGGAAAAAAGAAGGTAGAGAAGAAGGAGTGTGGATACAGTGAAAGGGGAAATGGGCGAGCAACACCAAAAGTCAGGTGTATGTATTTATTTCATTTTATCAAAAGTATCTTATATATGAATGTAAAAGGAATGTAAGTTAACATCTGATAAACATCATGGTATATGTATGGGGGAGAGTTTGGAAAAATAAAACATTATTAAAAAAAAAAACATAGGTTCCCAAAGATGAAGCAGCTTATACGGTACTACATATATACCTGCAAATTTGTGCAGGTATATAAGTACTATATTCTTCTGAAACTTTTAGGAGTGAATACATACATCATACATACATGTATGTATGTATGTATATATTTAGTGAGACACCAAAAAAATAAGACAAATACAGATAATAATCATGTTATAAAGCTTTGATTTTATTTGGGTCATAGTTTTACTTTTGTATTCCTATGATGTTGATCAGTAGTCTCATATTGATGTAAAAAAATGAAACAGTGGGATTCTATCTGAATTTTTCACATCATATCTAAGGTAATTTTCACATCATATTTAAGGATCTTCCAACAGTACATTGAACAAAGGAACAAACATCTGTCACATCTGACTTCTTTTCTCTTCCATCCTTTCCCTAGAGAAAGATTGTGGATACTGTATAGAATCATTCTGCTTGGTAGACTAAGCATCCTTTTGACCAAATGTTGGTAGGTATGTGGTATGCGAGGTCTCTCTCTCTCTCTCTCTCTCTCTCTCTCTCTCTCTCTCTCTCTCACACACACACACACACACACACACACAGAGTTCCTTATTAAGAGTTCCTCATTAAGGAAAGAAATTTTGAAAACTAAGCAAGAAAGGAATTCATTGGAGGACATTCAGACAGTGTCAGACTAACATTTAATTTCTTATATTGAGTTATTGTGAAAAATCCATGTATTGTAAAAACAAATATATACATGAATTGTGTGGACACATATGTACATATACATATATAGTGGAATAATAAGACAAATTGTCAATCTTTTTGTATAATAGCCTTCTGCAATCTCATCGCCTTCATATATGTGAGAATGCAATTCCCATTCAGTGCGACATGTGAACAGCCTATTGTGGCAAACAATCCAAGGACAGTGATGGCTTTGGGATGCATGATTTTTATGCACTTTTTTTAGTGCTTGTTACATTTAAATTAGGAACGTTGTACACATTATCTATTTTAAATGTAAGAGACAAGATATTTTGATTTGATTTGTTTTTGTCTTTTTTTGTGTGGTAATGATAGCAAATATATATTTGGTAGAGAAAGATAAAAAAGCACCACTGAAAAATTCTGAATTATACTTATTAGCTTATATATTTCTTAGCTTAAAATTTAAACAAAAGATCTCACTCTATTGTTTAAAAGGAATGTATTTATTTTTACAATTAATTCCTTTACATTCTCTCCATGATGGAGAAACAATCAAGCAACTGGAAAAATAAAGCCCAGTATCAACTTTAAAGTGATGGCTCAAATCCTTCAGTGTCTTCATTCCATGTATCACCAGGCATGTGCATACTCTACAAACAAAAGTGGAAAAAGAAAGACAGAAAAGAACATTTACATGTGAATTAAATTTAGTCGAAGACAATATAAAAGAAACAATGTTGATTCTAAATAACAAACAGAATTCTATGCTAAATGTATTATTTTCTGCATGTCCTCCATTACAAAAAATTTTCACTGAAAGAGAGCTTATTTCTTTTAAAAGAGTTTATTGTTCATCTATCTATCTATCTATCTATCTATCTATCTATCTATCTATCTATCTATCTATCTATCTATCTATCTATCCAGTGCTTTTTTTGTAAAAACAAAAGGTGCCGAACTACACACGTCATACAATCCGCCTTGCCTACCCTACAAGGTTCCATCCCAAAAAGGTGCAGGAACTCCATTCTGGGCGTACTATGAGAAAAAAAGCCCTCTATCTATCTATCTATCTATCTATCTATCTATCTATCTATCTATCTATCTATCATCTATCTATCTGCTATATATCATGCTCGAACACTGGAAGTTTTTAAGAAGAGACTGGACAGCCATTTGTCTGAAATAGTATAGGGTTTCCTGCCTGAGCAGGGGGTTGGACTAGAAGACCTCCAAGGTCCCTTCCAACTATTATTATTATTATTATTATTATTACTCATTTATCCATCTTCTATCACCTATCATCTATCTAGCATCTATCCATCATCTATTTATACCTTATATACAAGTTTCAACTACTTGAAATGCTGAAGTCTTATAGCTTCCAAGTTGGCCCTATGTGCAGCATGTTTCATTAGAGCAATAACTATGGTATGAGTGGCTATGAGCAAAACCTCTGCTTCAGGAAAACACTCATAATTGGTTCATGAGATGGAGACTTTCCTATCTTACAGTTACCATATGCACCTTGAGGGCTCTGTCTGAAATAGTTTACTCCATGGGAGTGCAACCTCATCCAGAATCCAAGATGGAGTATCACTGCTATCGGGTCTTGGTTGGTTTCTGAACCCATATCCACTTTGTCTCACTGAAATTGAGCCTGAATTTGTTCTTTCTTTTCCAGATACTTACAGTCTCCAGACACTGAGGTAGCAACTTCTCTGTATCTCCTGTTCAGTTTAGGCCTGAGATATACAGTTAGCATACTGATGATACATAACTCCATGTGAAAGATAACATCTCCCAAGGTCTTCATATGTAGATGTCAAGTAGGGGGATAATAGAGTAGGACTCTGTGGCACTCCACAAAGGAGAGTGTTATGGTTTGACCTCTGTAGTCTCAATTAACTGGAACAGTCCCTGTAAGGAGGATAAGCACAGCTACAGAATACTACCCTAAACAGATCTATTGGGAACCTACGATGGACCAATCAAATATACTACTATGGTAAGTTACGTATATAGCAATCAGATAATGATTGGACAAGGACAAGGGGTAGATATTAATACCCTATATCCTGAGATCACACTGCATCTGCTCCAAAATAAATAAATAAAAGTATAATAAGTCTTGTGCATCATACCATTTAGATCAGTTTAGTTGTCATGGTATCTGTAAACTCCTGAATTATCACCAAACCTACCATCAGGGAATTGAAGTAATCCAGAATCATAATCTGAAGAACACTGACACCAGCTAAGAGGTGGAATCCAAAGACTTGAGAAGTTATGCTGCTATGCAGCAGGAAGAATAGTATAAAAGTATCAGTCCCCACTTGAGCCAATAGAGTAAGATATACAGGATTTCTTTCCAATATCCATTTCACAAATATAGAAGCAATGTTTTCCCATGGATACTAGTAACTTTTAGATTCTGCCGTATGTGTCAAAACAACATCTGGAACTTAATGGATTCATGGGCACCTATGAGGGGGGCAGTGATGAAGCATGTATCATGTCATTATGCAAACAATTCAAATTATACAGATCTGGGAAATATTTTTAAAAATGTACGGTTCTGTCAATTTCTGTGGGGTTTGCAAATTCCATAAAGATGTGGTTGTCAGTTAAAGAGAGTGACTTGCTATACTGAATTTTGTATCAGTATGCATAACTTTTGATCAGTATCAAAGTCTGGCTGACTTTTCTTAGTATGTATTCTTTCCAGGACTTTTTGGGATATTTTTTTATAGAATATTTGAATAGATGTTGGAATTTTACTTTATATCAGTTACTGGCTGATGAGTTCTTCTCATTTCCTACATTCAAGGATAAATATAATTTGTCTGTTGCTGCCCAGCAATAAGAACTTCTGTCGTTTGATCAAATGCAACTTTGATCAATTGCATTTTCAGATGCCTAAATTATTGGAAGTGGCAAAAAAGCTCACAATTAGTCCTTACACTTCTCAAAAACCAGTCTGATATACAAATTTTAAATGCCTGAATGGAACAGTTAGGAGATCCATTTCTTCTCCTTAAACCACGGCAAATTGTCATGATAGTCTGTATCACAAACCTCAGTGGATCTTAGACTAATTATTACATTCTGGGAAGAAGCCATTTCACATTTTATTTGAGACAAATTTCACATGTGATATTTTTGTGATTTAGGAATAAATTGATTATAGAGGTAGATTAGACGTGGAGGATTATAAAGAACCCTAGTGATCTTTACTGAAACTGTTTTTAAAGTTTATATATATACACATGTGAGAAGCCCATTTTTTCTGCTCTGTTTAATTAATTAAACAGAATTGATTCCTAATTGCAATGTCTTTTGCTAACACCATCTGACTAAGTAAAATAGAGAAATTATCAGGAGAAATTATGTTGAGCAGACTATAAAAAAGGCAATAAGAGATTTTGAATCACTACTTTGGTCATCACTCACAGGCGGGTAAAAATTAAATCTTTTACGCAAAGTGAACTATTGTGACGGTCATCTTCACATAGCTGAAAATGTTCTTCTGGGCTAATGTCCAAATAAAATAAGAGTTAAATTTCATTGGACTCTGAAGCCCTCAGTCTAGGGCAGTGGTTCTCAACTTGTGGGTCAGGACCCCATTTGGGGTCGAACGACCGTTTCACGGGGGTTGCCAAACAACGCAGTCCGCCATATTTTCCCCCTTTTCCTTAGCTGTGCTACTCCCTTTTATTCTATTGGCTTTTGAAAGCCAATAGAATAGACTCTCTTGAATAGAGTCTAATTCTATTGGCTTTCAAAAGCCAATAGGAATTGTCCAGGCTGTCTCTGCCCTGCTGAGCCCGCCAAAAGTCCCATTCTGCAAACGGTGCTGCACCAGTTGAGTAGTCCTTCACTTACGACCGGTTGAGTAGTCCTCGACTTACAACCGGTTGGGGGTCGCGGCATTAAAAAGGTTGAGAACCACTGGTCTAGGGGGAAAGCCAAAATCTCAATTGATAAAGACAAAAAGGAAATAATCTATCCATCATAATTCTACTTTTGCCTGTAGTTTGATATAACTGAATGGTTTGTCTCACAAAAAAAAAATCTAAGTTTTTCTACAATATAATGAATACACATTTCCACTATGGCTTAAGGTTACACTTGTATTGGTTCAGAGTGGCTTATTTTTGTTTTGCAAACCATGATTAATAAAAGGGTTGGCTTGGTGCAATGTATAAATTCAACATCTCCATTTATTTGCTAAAAGAAAAAAAATTACAGTCACAAGTGTGTATTATTACGGTGGAAGAAGAATATTGACATTCGCTATCCTAAAATGCAAATAATAAACCTCACACTTTAGGCAATTTGCTTAAGGGGGGCATTACAAACAGTGACTTGGGAAAAATAAATATTAACATCATTGGTTTAATATATACATACATACAAAAAGCTGGCTATATTACCTTCCCTTTCATTGCAACAAGCTTCAGCACCAGCTCTCTTCTCTCTCTCAGTAGCCTTATCTGTCTCATTATCCTTCATATTTTTCATAAGGTTTTGTTTTGGAACTCTTCTGCAAATGGCCCTGCAGTGGAATGATTGTGTTCTTAATAATTTCAAAGATGTGGATGTTTTCTTTTTCCCCTCAGTATTTGACCTATTTTGCCACTCATGCATTATACATACTGGGGAAAGCTGTACTCATAAGGCAGAGTCATTAGAGCTTAAAGAGATTCACTCAATTTCTCCTCCTCCTCCTTTTTTCTGTGCAAAATCTAGCATTTAAAAACCGACTGAATCAGTTCTTTTTTTTTCCACTTCCCTTTTTATGTCTTCATGTAATTTTCCCTATGCTATTCTTGGAAGCTTAGTATTTTAAACAAAAAAAATGGAAGAGATAGTAGCAATTATCTTTTGTAAGGACATGCATATAATGAAGGCTGCAATCAGAATCTCATGAACTAGGAAGAAAAGCCCATTGACGAGAGGGGAATTTACTTCTGAGTAAACATTCCTAGAACTGTAGTGTTGAAAAAAAAAGTGAGAAATTTATCAGGGTTTGTTTCTGGGATGAATTGCATGGCAGAAGTAGGAATGCCAACATTCTTCAGATCAGGTGTACAACAATAAAAAACTGTACGAGAGATTTATTTAGTATACTTTGTCTGATTTTCTACATAATATCTTAACTTACTATAGGGTGTCAAAATAACTAGCTTATGCGTTCCTTTAAATGGAAATAGCCAATATACAGTAGACTCTATCCCACTGTAATAATAGCCTATGAAAGTCTGTATTACCGTACCTCTTTTTCTCTTAAGTTTGGATGAAGCAGTCTATGTTTGTATATTTACTATAAAAACTCGTATATTTAAAACTATATATTTGAGAGTAATGTGTTAAAAATGGCTTATATTAGAGAAATAAATGCACAGTGTACAAAATTGTAGATTAGGGGAAAATACGTGTAGTAATGCACAACAACATTTTTCATTATTATTTCAGGGGAAAAAATTAAGCAGATTAGAATCAAATAAATACATTCAACAGTCACCTTAAATTTACAGTAATCTATTCATGTAAAGCTGACTTTCTTCTCTTTCCAAGACATAGATACACCCCTTGTGGTCTACTGCTGGACTATAAGTGCACCCTCACTACTATTGCTGTAGCCCCAGAGCTAGGGGCTAGGGTTGGAGATTAACGATGGTTTGCAAGTTATAGGTGCCAACAATTTTTATTACCAGCTTTCATTGTCCCTTAGCAGGAGAAGGATGGAGAAGTAACAGGATCATGCCAAGAAAAAAATCTGTATCTTACTTTAAGAGCTCCAGAAGAAATATAGCCTTTAGCTTCTTACATCACAAACAAGAATGTATTCCACTCTGGAATGGAGACCATGAAGTCTTGAATTTCTTGAGTTTACATCTGTGTAGTATACATTCTTTAGGGAAAACAAGCCAGGCGGTGTTACATGCCCACGAAGAAAGCTCTTGCATTGTCTTTGTCAAGAGAGCTGTTTTTCTGGACAAGAGCCATGGTGACACAGTGGTTAGAATGCAGTACTGCAACTTACTTCTACTGACTGCTGGCTGCCAACAGTTCGGCAGTTTGAGTCTCACTGGCTCAAGGTTGACTCAGCCTTCCATCCTTCTGAGGTCGGTAAAAGGAGAACTCAGATTGTTGGGAGCAATATGCTGACTCTGTAAACCAAATAACAACAATAACAACAACAATAATATTGAGTTGTAAGGGTTGAGTCGGAACCCCTTGCTCAGGCAGGAAACCCTATACTGTTTCAGACAAATGGCTGTCCAATCTCTTCTTAAAAACTTCCAGTGTTGGAGCATTCACAACTCCTGGAGGCAGGTTGTTCCACTGATTAATTGTTCTAGCTGTAAGGAAATTTCTCCTTAGTTCTAAGTTCCTTCTCTCTTTGATTAGTTTCCATCTTGTCCTGCCTTCAGGTGCTTTGGAGAATAGCTTGACTCCCTCTTCTTTGTGGCAACCCCTGAGATATTGGAACACTGCTATCATGTCACCCCTTGTCCTTCTCTTCATTAAACTAAACATACCCAATTCCAGCAATTGTTCTTTATATGCTTTAGCTTCCAGTCCCCTAATCATCTTTGTAGCTCTTCTCTGTACTCTTTCTAGAGTCTCAACAACTTTTTTACATCATAGTGACCAAACCTGGATGCATTATTCCAATTGTAGCCTTACCAAAGGATTATAAAGTGGTATTAACACTTCACTTGATCTTGATTCTATCCCTCTATTAATGCAGCCTAGCACTGTGTTGGCTTTTTTGGCAGCTGCAGCACACTACTGGCTCATACTTAAGTGATTGTTCATTAGGACTCCGAGATCCCTCTCACAGTTACTACTATTGAGCAAGGTACCACCTATATCAGGGGTGTCAAACTGCCAGCCCGCAGGTCAGTTTCATCATTCATTCCACCAGATTTTGCATTGCCGGCAATGCAAAAAGGGTCGTGACACGTCGCGAAATGTCACGTGACATGGTGAGAGTGACACCCGTGACTTATACTGTATGTATTCATTTGGTTTTTCTTGCCTAAATGTAGAGAGGGCCTAGAGAGGGCTGTAAAGCGCTGGGAAGCAGTATATAAGTCTTAAGTGCTATTGCTTCTCAGTATTGCTGGCTGTCTGAGGCAAAGGCAAAATTAGCACATGTTTGCCAATCAAAGCCACCCAAGGCTAGAAAACTAGTGTTGGCATTGATGGTATAACACGGTCCATTGTCTTCCAGGACAGCAACAATGCTACTGTAAAAATTAATTAATTAGGTAATAATAAACAACATGCCTCCCTTTCATGGCTACCTAAAACTACTTCCTCAAGGCAGTTGCTTGACTGCTTAGTAATATATCCTACCCTACCTAGAGCCCATAAAAGAGATATAGTAGGTAACCTAGCAGGGTTAAATATCTCAGCAATACAATGTAGCTTTTGTAATGATTTTAGTGAGTAAATTCATATATAATTATGAATACCAAATGACTAGCTATAGAAATTTACCTAAAGAGAAATATTTTACAATCTCAGGACATTACAAGAATTGCAGTATTTTTAAACACAGTTTCTTAAATAATAAATAAAAATGTTCTGATATTTTACGACCTATCTTGCTACAGTTGGTAAGCAAATCACTGCAGTTTTTAAGTTAGTAACACAATTGTTAAGTGAACCTGTTTTCCTCATTGACTTTGCTTGTCAAAAGGTTGCAAGAGGGGATCACATGACCCCGGGATACTACAACCGTCATAAATATGAACCAGTTGCTCAGCATCTGAATTTTGATCACATGACCATGGGGATGCTGAGATGGTCATAAATGTGAAAAACAGTCACAAGTCACTTTTTTTTCATTGCCATTGTAACTTTGAACAGTCACTAAATGAACTTTTGTAAGTTGAGGACTATCTGTAGTTGATTTCACTGACACTGTCATATTCACTGTCTGAGATCTCTGATATGTCAGACCTATCCAGGATAATGCTCACCTCTGCATAATCTTTGACTGCCATTCATTAAAGCAGCTTGTGATAATATCATCATTACATTAGTTACAGATTTGGCTCCTACCAATCTATGAAGAAAAAATAATTGCTACTCAGGGTCTACTTTGTGTTTTATAAGATACTGCATCATTTACTCATTCAAATGGGGCACAGCATACTTTCAGTTTTGTCTCTTAGACACTGTTTCTCCCTGAGTACATACTTCTCTCTCCCCCTCCCCATTTTTAAATAAAATGATTTATTGTTGTTAGTAATTTTTCTGACGTGTTCTAATCAGAAGGAACCACAAGTCTTTTCTGTGGAAATATTTGAACTAATTTGCCACCATCTTTATGTATCTAAAGTAAGGCATTCGACAGCAGATTTGTGGGTCTCCTTTTTCTTCTTTGATGTTGGCAGTGATTGTTCAGCCATTTTCAGACACCCATTTTTAATGGAAAAACTGCAGCTTTTTAATTTTATAATTGGTCCTCTTGCACAGCTGCACAGTTGTGAACACATTTTTTTTTTGACTTAGGAACAAAGAACCTGAAATAGCCTCCCACTTCCTTTCCAATATACTTGCGGTTCGTGACATGTCCCCACTATAAAAATAAATGATAAAAAACATTCTTTTTTTTCAAATTCTTCCTCTTCTCCTTTGGCTGGCTTGACATAACACACACTTAAACATGCCAAATAAAGGACAAACAGCTGCATTTGTGTAACATACTTAACTTGGTTAGTATTAAATTGAGGTTTGCGGTGGCTTTCTATGTTGTGTGAACTCACACCATTTCATAGACTTAGTGGACTTGCATGACTCCAGAAAAAGCTAAATTCATAAATGAACTTAAACAAATGGTAGAAACATTATATTTATGGCACTACTTGAATTAAAAGGACACATAGCAAGAAGTGATCAAAGGAAACTGAGTTGTGTAACATTGGTGTTAATGTTTGTTTGCTTTTTGAAATTATATAGGGAAATAGAGAAAATGGTGCAACTTATCAACAAGCAAAGAAGGAATATCATATTTGCTTTCTTTTCCTTTTCTCCCTAGTTCTGTTTGTATATATTGGCTAAAGCTTGGTAGCAGAAAATTTAAATAGGGAAGTGAATAAAGAGAGCAATTTCTTTCTCAATGCTGTTGCTGGTTATTTCCCCAGTGAAGATTCAGAAAGTCCATAACTGAAAGAAGTAGCAGTTCATTGTTTTCTCTCTTTCTTGGTTGATAGATGTATTTTCAGTAACTAGATATAGCAAGTAGAAAATCTATGCAGATACTATCTCTAATACTTCAAGGCAATATTAGATAGATAGACAGATAGGTTGGTTGCTTGTATGTGTTTGTATGTGTTTGTGTATGTGCATGCTCATAGAAAAGAGATGGGCCATTGATATGTTGTATTACATTTGTTAATTGGACAATCATATCCTTTAGATGAATTTGTGGAGAAGATTCTGCTGGCCATCACTGGTATTTGCGAATTTATACTACTAGCCGGAAATTTAAGATCTTTCATACCTAGTAGTGAGGAGACTGGCAATCAGAGATATCAAATATATTTTGATTGATAAGGCAAAAAATCTCATGCACCCTGAGCACCCCTGAAAAAAAACATTCTAAATTCACAAATAAATATAAACAATACTATAGATAAGTCAAATAAGTAGCACTAGGCTTCTTTTGTAATACTTACAGCTTTGAGGCAAGCCATCCCATATTGCCTAATAATAAAACTAGCTCCAGGACATTGTATTACCAGTGTTTTGTAAATGTCATAATTAAAAATAAACTTGTTGCCAAGTTTATGAAGTAGGGAAGAGAACCTTGCTTCAGAAATAACAAATAGAAAGAAATGAATCAATATCCTGTTGCATTCAGGCTAAATTTATATTTAACTTCATAGGAATTTTAGTATTATGAGTGACATTATTATCCCACCAGTAGCACAGATCTTATCCACATATGTTGTTCCATAATGATCGTGGCAGAGATTTATACATATTCAGAAATCAGTTTTCTGTTTATGTTTAATTATTTCAGTTCCCACAAGTGTAGCCATGATTTACTTTGAGATAAAGCTTTTAATTTCTTGATCAAGGATAATTTGAACATTGGCCATTTCCTGATTAGTGGCTAAAAGTGTCTTCAGAATATTACTAGCCATTGTTGAAGTGTCTGAAAGCATGTCATTATAATTGTTATTTTGGTCCAGTGATGGTTGGGTGATTAATCACTAGTCAGAAAATGACCTTACACACAACACTGATTATTCTGCCTTGTCTTTCTTGTAAAACAACTACCCTCTCTTTCCAGGTAGAAGTACAAATGGAAACAGGTGGGAAAGGAAAGATAAAATAAATCTCTTTTTCTCTCTCTCCCAAAACTTTTAATCCAACAATCACAGCATTTAGGTGACCGCGGTAAGTTAACTATCTGCTTATTGCTCTTTTCATGCCCCAATCCTCTCTTCCAGGATTGGTACCTGGAACAATAAATGAGAAAAAGTGTGGAAAAGTACCTGGATTTGTGGCAATCTTTCTGGCACACATTTTCCTTTTTGGATATATTTTCATGAAACTTTTGGGTACTTGGAAAACAATATCAACCCTGGAGTTTGCTGAAGCCATTTTACCTCCTGGGATGGGAAAGAATAAGGTGGAATATTTTTACTTCCAACCATTGATGGATCCTAAAAGGCCTAAGTCAGTCCATTGATAGTGAATAGGAGTGAAAATCTCCTTAATTTATTGAATTAAAGTTTGAGACAATTACATTGCAACATAGACAAGGAGCTGGCCAATATAATGAACGTAAAAGCATTGATTGGTTGTCCCACTAAGAATGATAAAATGAATCTCCAAAATCCCTTCCCTTAATGGACTGCTTAGTTTTTCCAATAAATACTGCCTTGTCGGTTTGTTTGGCATAC